TCGATTTCCTAGTTTTTAGAGCAATAAATCTAAAAGACATTTGATGTAAAACACGTAGATAGATACTTACAAAGGTGAAGAGGATGGAAAAGATTTTCTAAGAAAATCCTTCTAAAAACACTAATTTTTTAAAAGAAAATCAAAATTTAGATTCCTTAGATGAGGGAGGAATCATGAAATTCAATAATTGGATATTTTTACATGTATAAAAAAAAGCAATGACGATGCGTGACGAAATGAAAAACGGATTTGTCATTGGCTCTACATATGTATCGAATGGGGATTAAAGTGCGACAAACGAAACATCAGTTTCGTGACTTGAAAAGGAAACTGAAACGAAACACAAACATCTACACAATCGATCCAGAACGTAGGGGAAAAATTTACTTTTCTTATGATAATCCCTCCCTCCCCTGCATTTTTTTTTAAGTGAGGAGGACGAATAAATTAAAATTTAACTTAAAATACTCGTTAAAACATACTTATTTTTTACTGCTTTTTTGGAAAGGAAATTGAACTTTTTAGATTAAAAATTATTTTTTTATTCTTGAGGGTGTAAATATTTTGATAAATACTTTCATGTGTGCGTAAATTTATGTAAGTAGATGGAGCAGGCATATAGGACAGACAGCCTGACAGATCAGTGGGCATACAGGCAAAGGAACAGTAAGCATTATAATATATAGATGTGTTGACATGACAAAAAAACGGATGCATAGAAGGGCAGACAGAGCAGAGGCAGAAATTGTAGAGTTGTTTGAAGTATTTTGGATTTATAAATTAAATATTTAAATTTTTTTTTTTACACTAGTGTTACAGGGTGATTTTTATTATTTTTCAGGGAATGGTAGGGTAATTTCGCGTTTAACATTTAAAAAAAAATTCCTAAAATTTTTGTACATTTCTGTNCAGATCAGTGGGCATACAGGCAAAGGAACAGTAAGCATTATAATATAGATGTGTTGACATGACAAAAAAACGGATGCATAGAAGGGCAGACAGAGCAGAGGCATGGAAAGGAAGGCAGAACAGAGGCATGGAAAGGAAGGCAGAGCAGAGGCATAGACAGGCAATCAGGCATATAAACTAGATACATAGATGGGCAGGCATAAAATTGATATATAGACACACACGGGTATACAAAACAAATGCAAACAGGCATAAGTAGATCGCCAGAAAGGCAGCGGGCTTGAGAAACAGAGGCACGGAAGATGAACGACGGCATAGTTATTTTTATATTTAAAAAAAAATTCAATTTTTTAAAGTAATTTTGTATAAAGGTAAATATAAAATGACATTTTTGTTTTGCAAAAACGAAGACATCGAGTTCTATAAAAAGAAAACGATGACAGAAATTCGTGAGTGGGCCACATTAACATCCAAAAAAAAATCCATTACTTTAAATAAATCTGCATTTATCTTAAATTATTTAACAACAACAAAAATCGAGATTGTTTCCCCCCTTCTAATCGATTGTTAACGTGTTAGCATGCGATAGCATCGTGCTACTACACGAAATTAATGTTCCGAACATTTAACTAAAAAAAACACGCGTAAATAATCTTTTTTTTGAGGAATTTGACGTTTTTTTAATTAATAAAACACGCGCCAAGTACTGTGTTAAGCGCTTGTCACGCTAGAAACACCTGTAAAAAATACGTGCTTTTACATGATGATGCTTCAAAGTCTAGCAGAGAGACAATGAAGCTGCGTCGTCTCTGCTAGACTTTGAAGCGGTTTATTGTGTGTGTTAACGTATCAATTAGCTAATAATTACTGTATTTGAATGTGCTGCTACAGTAATAAATTGCTACAAAAACAGCATGAAGTAGTAAAAATCTCTGAAGATTTAACTAGAAATTTACCAGAAAGTGGGCTTGCTATTATAGCAACAATTTATACATTGTTACTATATTTTTACAGTAGCGCATCGCCATCTAATTGTGTAAATTCTAACAATTTAAAATGATTTCTAAGCTGTTTTTATTGCAGTAATGGCAAATTTAAAGTGCTGTTATAGTGTTTCTGGACATTTTACCAAATATTCTTTAAATAAAACCTGTGTAAAAATAATCCCAGCGTATTATAAAGTATGAATTTTTCTATGTAAATGTCGAAATTTCCTCTTGACTATGCTTTTATATTAACAATTTCAACAGTTGTGTAACAATTACGCTATCTTTTTCAATATGCTACTCTAGCAACATCAATATTACACTATTCCAAGTAGACGTACAGTAACAATATTATTAATAATAACACCCAAAAGTACAAAAATAATAATTATTGTTGATATAATAGAATATTGGAAAGAAAGATCAGTCATTTAAACATGCTACTGTAGTAACAAATTAGTGTAGCAACCTTACAAAGGCCCCAAAAAATGGCACTTGAGTAGGATTAATTCATAAAATATAAACAAACAATACTTTGTTACTATAATAGTACAGTTTACAGTAGTGTAGTAGTAGAATTTACGGTAGTTTTTATGATTTTTATCTATTAATTTAGCGAATTTGTAGTCGAAAAGTCGAAGAACGTTCTGCCAAAGTAAGTATATAAAAGCCTTAAGTTGAATCGAACAATGTAGATACTATAGTAGTGTAGCATCATAAAGGCTTTTTTTCTACTCCATTAGTCTCCCAGGAAACCAATATTAAAGAAGAAACAAAAAAATCTCTTATTATGATAAGTGTTTCCAGGAAACTACAAAGCTTATCCGAAGCAAAACACAAGAAGAAAGACCTTTCATTTATACACAAATTATAAAAAAAACATGCTAACACCGTGTTAACTCAGCAATTGTACTTCTCTAGTAACAAATTAACACCGGAAAATTCGTGTAATTGTATTCGTTAACGCTACAACACGTTAATTTGTTTGTTGCTGTATGTATTTACACACACACAACACAATTTACCTTCGGGCATGCTAGTACAGTATGAATTTTTACGTATTTACTACTAAAGCATTATCTAAAAACCGATACAGCTGTATTTATTAGTGTTAGTACGCGTGTACCCGTCTCTGTAATGGCATGTTCTATGTAGTGACAATTTTGGATACTTCTAAAAACCTGTAAAAATTATTTTAGAAGTTTTTTTTTATTAAAAAAGTTGGTTTTAGGTGTTAGAATGCTTTCTTTAATTGTCTTTCTCTAGTTTTTTTTGTGTGTTATTTGTAAATATTTACTTTATTTCTGAATTATTTAGATGTAAAAATGGGTTTTTCAGATCTTTTCAGGATTTTTAAGCGTTTAAAATCTAAAAAACTCAGTAATAGAATTGTTTTTTTGGTGTTCCTGAAGAAAAAAATGAATTTTCTTGAAGTTGAGGAAATTTTTGTATGGTTTTTGAAGAAATTTGCCTTTATATATTGGAAAATAAGTTTGATTTATAAGGAAATATGTTCGTTAGAAGAACATTTTCCTTCAAAAAACATACATTTTACTCATTTGTCGAACTTGTTTAAGCAGGAACATATTCATCGTGTTGTGCTTCCATCAAAAACACCATATTTATTTCATCTAAAAGATGAAATGAACATTTAATGATATTCTTCGTGAAACTTACTTAAGAAGGACAGGCTAATTTTGTTAAACCTTTTTAAAAAGGACGGATTTGTGTTGAGTCCGAGTAAGACGTGTTTATATTAACTTGTTCAAGCAACATATGTTTGAGTCATCAAACTCGTTTTAAGCAGTGTGTGTTAATGTTAAACTTGTTTACGCAAGATGGATTTGTATTTAACTTGTTTAAGAAGGCCATGTCTACTTCGACAGCTCGTAAAAACAAGATTATTCGTGCAGTTAACTCTTTAAGCAGGACAAGTTCGGGGTGAAATCGTTTAACAAAGCCAAGTCGTGCAGTCAACTTGTTCAACAAGGCAATGTTCATGCTGCCAACTTGTCTAACAAGCCACGTTCGTGCCGAACTGGTTTTAAAATAGAACAGATTTTGTGTTGTTAACTCATTGCAGCAGGCCATGTTCGTGTTGAACTCGTTTAACAAGGCCACGTTCGTGTTGTTAACTCATCTAGCAAGGCCATGTTCGTGCTGTCAACTCGTTTAAGCGGGATATATTCGTGCATTCAACTTATTTAATCAATTTATAAGAACAAACACGACAATTTGTTGACATTTTTCGAACAGAATCGCTTTAAACAATGTCCAACAATAAGTTTAATCACAATATACCATCAGAACTCAATATTTAACGTTGAAAAAATAAAACAAAATAAAATTTTATTAAATTAAAAATCCCAAAAAATTAATTAAAATATAAAAAAAAACTAAATAAAATTCAAAAGAAGCAAAAAGTCTGTTCCTCCACACAAAGTTTACAGACTTTTATTACTAATTTTTAAGTATAAAAATATTTTTAGTCAATAAATAGCTAGTAAAATTTAATTACAATTAAATTAAATCTCGAAACTAATTATAGAAAATATAATTAAAGTAATTTCCCCAACTTCAAAAAAAAAAAAAAAAAAACCCCCTTCACCATTTGGAATCGATTAAACTTAATGAAACATTAGAGATGTGCTTAAAATATTTAAAATTTTTAAATCTAATAATGCGAAATTTAAGAATATTTTTAGTTTTTTCTAATGTCCTTTATTAAGTTAAGCCATTAAAGTGGAAAGAATTTCAAAAAAATTTCTTACAAGACACGAAAACGTTGGAGCTTAGTATTTATCAAAAATCTTCATTGTTAATCGATGTAGGGAGTTTTTTCTTAGTAAACGTGACGTAGGGGGTCGTCCGTTTCCGGAAGTGGAAAGTTTCGGTCGGAAGTGACGTCACCGGTCCAGATCTCCGTCCATTGGCCGTGGCGTCACGCTCCCCTCGCGCTCTCCAATGGAACGTTCGAGATTGATAGAGCGATGGTAGTTGTAGAAACGTGTTTTTTTTTTGAAAGATCATCATCGATATAAAGTTGGAAAGTTCTTGACGTCACGAATCTTCCTTATTTTACTTTATTTTTTATTTTATTTGATTATCTTGTTGCGCTATGAGGTCAGAACTTTGGTTAGGAGCATGCGCGTATCCGTTGGGTATATCTGAAGATGACGTGTGGTTCTTTGGCAGGGAAACAGATACCAAAATTTTACATCGTGAAGGAAGGTTGTCACGAATATCATGGCTCCGTCACATTCCAGATTGGCATTCCGAAATTTGACCTCTTCCTGGTCCAGACAGAAATTAAGAGCTCATAACGAACTCAACTGGAGAATGGTCAGGACAGGTAAGTTTGTTTACCTTTATCCTGTTTACTCGTTCCCCGATTTACTTTGATCCCGTTTACGATACCATCAACTGGTTTATCTATCTATAATTTACCGTCGTCGTGTGTTCGTGTGTATATATACACACACACACACCCACTTGTATCCTATCTACCTATCCCTAGTTTACCTTAGTTTAATACAGGTAATGATACAGGTAATAATACAATTAATTGTATGTAGATTATCTGTATAATTGTCACCTGTTCCTAAATTACTTATGTAGTGTCTGCCTGCTCCTACATTACCTGTATAGTGCTGCCTATTCCTAGATTACCTGTACAGTGTCTGCCTGCCCCTACATCACCTGTATCATTCTTTCTGCCCCTACATTACCTGTATTATTGTGTCTGCCTATTCAAGTTTGTATACTGTTAACTTCTTCCTAACTTACCTGTATCAAACCCATTTATGACTCGCATTGTATCTATCTGATTCTATTGAGTTTATACGATCCTGATCACCCTTGTTTAATTCTCCTGGTTTACATGTATTTTATTTACCTGTTCCTGATTTATCGATATCTGATTGGAAACAAATTAGGAAAATGATCGCTTTGTAGAACTTACTTTTTAATTAAATTATTATTATTAATATTTAAACAAATTCTGGGAGCCAAATTATCACAAATGGTCTTCTAACAGAGGCATTTCCTCAAAACAACCTTATTTTCACCAAATATATCTTTGACTATTTGAAATATAGATATCAATCAATCGTCATTTTATTAATTGTTACAGGCAGACATACAGACAAACTCTCTCCCGTTAACAAACGATGCTTTACGCGCAACATTCATAAATTTTCTAATAAATTATCCAAATAAAATCCCATAAAAATACATACAAATCTTTAAATTACTTCAAAAATTTCCCCGAAATATTCACTAAGTTGTAATCTGATATGTGATTGGTTAATAAATTATGCCAATTAGAAGTGAATTTACTAAAATGTAAGCTGAAATATGATTGGCTAATAAATTAAACACCCGGAAAATAGGACTTATCGCAGTTAATTTTAGCGGAATTATTCAATTTTATTCACTCCAATTGTCACTGTACGATTCGAATTTTTCATGTATTATCCTGGTGTGACGTTAAATAATTATTTTCGTTAGTACAACAGGTGGCACGAGCGAATTTATTAAGAAGATAAATCACTATAAATGAAGTTTTGCCACCCTCTAATGATATAATACATACAGTAGACTGCATTATCGGGTGTTTTCCAGGTGTTTTATTAAACTTTCTATCTTATTTTACTTGTATCGAACGTCTTTATAAGGAAACTTACTTCGATTTCTGATTGATCTGTTAGAAAATTTATACTTTCGATCGATCATATCTCATCGATCAGTGCGTTAAAATACATTTCTCTCTCTCGTATCGATCTCCTCCGTCTATATGATATTTAGCTAATTGATATGGAAAAGGTGAGGGGGGTTTAGAATAAATCGAAGGTTTCTCGGATATATAATTGTCTTTTTGGGATGGAAAGAAATTTATCCTTAATTTTAGGGGTGATTTAGGGACGATTTGGGGATTAACACAATAGTTTCTAATTATTTTGTAAAATAAGTAACTCTTCCGCATCGTCTTTCGACGCCATCTTGAATGATGCAGACTCCAATCACGTGTTCGAAACGATTTAAAAAAATTGTTTTACGTCATAAACACGTTTTAATATATTATTTATACATGTAATTTATATTACGTGTGCGTATTTAAATAAATGGATTTAATTTATTATTTATAATTATTTATTTAAGAAAATATATAATTATCATCACAGAATGGATTTCTATACGCGTTACGTGACGCTTCACGTCGCCTCACGCAAGCGAACTTTTCCTCCTTTTTTTTTTTGTTGTAAATATCGACAATACGTAAAACGAGTATACTTTAAATTGTTTAAAACATTATATATTTGTCGAAAATAATATAAATATATACGTTTACGTGCTTAATTCGCGCGCCAAGCAGCGAAGCGACACGACGCACCTCGTTCCGTATCGGCGCGTACGGAACCTAACTTATTAATCCCTATTTTTAAAATACTTTTTAACCTTATAAAGATAGATTTATCTTATAAAATGGAGAATATATTATCCAAATTTTGAGTTTTTAAAGAAAACTATAGTTTACGAGGCCCAGAAAAGGCATAAAAGGGACCATAAATTCTTCATCCTTCTCTAAAACTCCATCGTTTCTATGCTAAGTATCTAACAATTTTGGCGTTTTATACACGTTTACGCGAATTTTTTCATACCTTAGACTTTCTTTTAGGTAGGAAAATAAGTAAAATCTCCATCTTCATCTCTCCTTAAGCGTGACAGATTTGATTAAGAGCCACAACGTGATTAATTCAGCTAATGTAATCCTATAAATACAGTCATTTGCACTTTTAATTATTTAATTATTAATTAAGTACATCTTTAAAATGAATGAATGATTTCACACCTGGAATATTCCAGAACTTTTCTAGAATTTTACATGTATATTAATCCATTAAATGAAAGATTTATCCGTGTTATAAATATGCTTTTTTTTTTTTTATCTCAAGATTCCGCTCTCGAATGTGTAAATGCTGGTAATTACGGGTTCGATTTCCCTTTGCGCGTGCTTAAACATTTAAATTAAGGGTTCAAACGTGTAAAAAACGGCGAAAAGTCCGCAAAAATTGCACGTTTTTGAGTGAAACTCGGCGTAAAAACGTTGAAATTTTACACGATTTTATCCAAAAAATCTCTTTTTTTTTATCTGAAAATTCCGTCCTTAAACGTGTAAATTCTGATTATTACTCAGTTGGCGTTTGTTTAGACACGATTAAACGTTTAATTTAACCTGTTAAACGTGTACAATCTGCGAAAATTAAGTGAAACTCGAAGGTAAATTGAATCATTTTTCCAATATTAATTAAACGAACAAGTTTTCTAGATTTATCTAACATTTGTAAGATAATTTCTGGTGATATTTCATCGTTAAACACACAAAAAAATTACATTTTACCGTACCAAGTCGCTAATGTGTGTCTATATATAGGTTACGTGCTATTTAATGATAGAAACTCGAGACATGTCTATAATTTATACAAAATTTAGATATATAATGAAAAAACAATAATAACAAGGAAAGCAATCAGTAAATACAAACGAAGTTTTATATTTATTGCATGTTTTTATTTTTTCTTAAGTATGTATATTTGCTGTTAAACTAACGATTAATTTTATTTTAAGATATGATAGTAATAATGGGTTAGGATTAGAATAGAATTTTTTTTATAAATAAAAAGCTTATATCGAGATTTATTTATATTTTGTGTATAAAATCTCTGTGCATTTGGGTTTTTGTTTTATTTAACATCTCTCAATACATTTTTATCAACATCTCTGGAAGCATTGTAGAAACATTACTAGATCCTTTTCATCTAGCTTCTCCGGAAGCATCCCTAGATCATTTTATCCAGCATCCTAGAAATACTACTATATCTTTTTCATCCGGCGTCTCCGAAAGCAATCCTAGATTCTCTTCATCCAGCTTCTCCGGAAGCATCCCTAGATCCTCTTCATCCAGCTTCTCTAGAAGCATCCCTAGATCCTCTTCATCCAGCTTCTCTAGAAGCATCCCTAGATCCTCTTCATCCAGCTTCTCTAGAAGCATCCCTAGATCCTCTTCATCCAGCTTCTCTAGAAGCATCCCTAGATCCTCTTCATCCAGCTTCTCTAGAAGCATCCCTAGATCCTCTTCATCCAGCTTCTCTAGAAGCATCCCTAGATCCTCTTCATCCAGCTTCTCTAGAAGCATCCCTAGATCCTCTTCATCCAGCTTCTCTAGAAGCATCCCTAGATCCTCTTCATCCAGCTTCTCTAGAAGCATCCCTAGATCCTCTTCATCCAGCTTCTCTAGAAGCATCCCTAGATCCTCTTCATCCAGCTTCTCTAGAAGCATCCCTAGATCCTCTTCATCCAGCTTCTCTAGAAGCATCCCTAGATCCTCTTCATCCAGCTTCTCTAGAAGCATCCCTAGATCCTCTTCATCCAGCTTCTCTAGAAGCATCCCTAGATCCTCTTCATCCAGCTTCTCTAGAAGCATCCCTAGATCCTCTTCATCCAGCTTCTCTAGAAGCATCCCTAGATCCTCTTCATCCAGCTTCTCTAGAAGCATCCCTAGATCCTCTTCATCCAGCTTCTCTAGAAGCATCCCTAGATCCTCTTCATCCAGCTTCTCTAGAAGCATCCCTAGATCCTCTTCATCCAGCTTCTCTAGAAGCATCCCTAGATCCTCTTCATCCAGCTTCTCTAGAAGCATCCCTAGATCCTCTTCATTCAGCTTCTCCGGAAGCATCTTTAGATCATTTTATCCAGCATCCTAGAAACACTATTAGACCTTTTCATCCAGCATCTCCGGAAGCACTTCCAAAACATTATACTTACTTCTCTTGTCACCAGATCATTTTTCTCCAATATCATCAGCATCCTTTAAAGTTCTGTATACATACAAACTAACGAACCAGACGCATTTCCTTCTCTATAAATATCTTTCTTTCCACCACAAACTGTAATTTAGAAGGGCTAAAATCACAGTAAAACATATAATTTCATCCAGTTGGAGTTGTAAGAACTCTGTTGGAGAAGTAACAGAAAAGAACATTCCTAGAGTGTGTATGATCAACTGTTGCTAGCTTAAGATGTAATGTCCTGTACAATAAATAACTCGTATCGATTTTTACTCATGCATCTAACACTCATAACATGGATATTATTTTATATTTTTCTACTTAGATGATTGCGACTTATCTCATTTAAATCGATATCTTCGTCTTGTTCAAAATAATAATATTTTATAGGATGTCGTTAGTCGACAATCCTCTTAACGATTCACATTTTCTTCATTTTTTTTAATGGTGGTTCTTGTAAAACAATTACTTTAATAACAATATTTTTTGGAGATACTTTAACGTA